CAGCAGCAGCAGCAACAGCAAAGGCAACAGCAGCAGCAGCAACAGCAGCAGCAGCAGCAGCTCACGATGACAAAATAGTTTATCTAAGGAAACATCGAGGGTCTGAAGGTGCCAGCTGTGCTGCTGTTGATCTGCTGCTGCAGCTGCTGCGTCCTTTGCTGCAGCATCTTCTGCACCAGCTTCCGTTGCGGCATCTGCTGCTGCTGCTGCTGCTGCTGGCTTGAGGCTCTCGACAAGAAAGCGGAGGCCCAAAGTCTCTGTAACAGCAAGAGACACAACGCGGCCTGAAGCAGCAGCAGCAGCAGCAGCAGCAGCAGCACATTGCTCATCTGCAGCATCAGCATATTCTCCCTCGCTTAAGTCGCAGCTACCGTCCGCTGCTGCGTCTGCTGCTGCATCTGCTGCTGCTACTGCTGCTGTTGCTGCATCTCCAGCTGCGTCTGCTGCTGCGTCTGCTGCTGCATCTGCTGCTGCTGTTTCCGGCCCTTCTGCTGCAGCAGGAGCAGCCTCTGGCGGAGGGGCCTCTTCAGCTGCTGCTGCTGCTGTTGCTGCCGTCGCTGATGCTGCTGCTGCAGCTGCTGCTGCTGCGGCGCGTGCTTTCGATGAAAAGACCCCCAGCCTCTGCTGCTGCTGCCGCTGCTGCTGCTGCTGCTGCTGCTGCGGCTCTACTATCTGAGAAGACCGCTTGCGAGCCCCTGCAGCGCTTTGCACTCCCCCAAAAGCTGTGGGGCCCCCGCCTCCCCCGAACAGCTGCCTCAAGCTAAGGTGCTGCTGCTGCTGCTGCTGCTGCTGCTGCTGGCTTGACTTTTGAAAGAGAGACTTCATCTTTTCACACAAAATCGACTCTATGGCCTTTTGCATTGGCTTTGCATGCGTGGGGCCCCCTTTGCTGCTGTGGGGCCCCCAGTGCCTGGCAGCAGACTTCGCTGAGGGGCTGCCCCCTGCTGCTGCTGCTTCTGCTGCTGCTGCTGCTGCTGGTGCCTGCGTGGCTTGGGCTGCTGCAGCTGGAGAAGCTGCTCGCTGTTTGCCCCTGCTGCTGTGCTGGCTGGGTTCTCCCTGCTGCCGCTGCTGCTGCTGCTGCTGGCGGTGCTGGCGGTGGTGCTGCTGCTGCTGCTGCTGCTGCGCTGCTCTGCGCCTGCTGCTGTTGTCAGGGTCTGCGTCGCTTGCTGCTTCTTCTGCTGCTTCCGCCAAAACCCTAATGTTCTGCAAAGCCCTCGCAAACACTGGCAGCAGCGCAGCACAAGCAACAGCTTTTGCTGCTGCTCGCTGCTGCTGCTCCCAGCTGCCCCCGGGGGCCGCGCACGGGCCCCACGGCGGCGGAGGCTCCAGCACCTGCAAAAACCCTAAACCCTAAACCCTAAACCCTAAACCCTAAACCCTGGACCGTGGGCGCGAACCCGTGCGCACGCCCAAACCCTAAACCATAAACCCTTGGGGCAACTGCCTGACCCGTGGGCCCCATGCCTTGTGCTCTAGACCGTAGGGCCTAGGCTACAGCGTCTCAAACCCTAAACCCTAAACCCTAAACCCTCGGACGAAGGGATCTATGGGCCTCACCGAGACCCAGAGCTCGCAGCGGGGAGACGCCATCTTCGGGTTGGTGGTTGCGTTTTGGCAAAACCCTAGATTCTAAAAATCAAACTTTATACCCTAAACCCTAAACCCTAGACCCCAAACCCTAATCTCTAAACCCTAAACTGTAAGCCCTAAACCCTGAACGAGAGGCGCTCAGATGAGCAGGGTTTGGGTCAGTTCACTTGAAATTCCAGCTTTAAAACCTAGGGTTTAGGGTTTGAATTTAGGGTTTAGGGGTTAGGGTTTAGCGTTTAGGGTTTGGGACCTAGGGAGTGCTGCATCTGGTCAGGATCATCACGAGTTCGGACTTGGGACACGCAAACCCTAAACCCTAACCTTAAAGCCTAAACCCTAGACCCTTCTTCTGCCCTTCCAAGAAACTTAAAATGGTCTTTTAATACCTTTTTTCGAATTGAAAAATCATAAAAAGTTCTTCTTTTAATTCCTTCCTTTTCAGGGGCCCCCAGGGCCCGCCCGGTGCGCAGGTGACCCTGGGGCCCCACGCCCGAAGGACTAAACCCTAAACCCTAAACCCTAAACCCTAGACGCTAGCCCTAGATCCTAAACCCAAAATTGCAAACCTTAAACCCTCGCTCGCCTGCATTTTTTAAATCTCAAACTCCACAATAAAGGGTTTAGGGTCACAGACGCCACACACGAGACTCTCATCGAGACACCAGGCATTCAAACCCTAAACCCTAAACCCTAAACCCTAATCTCAAAACCCTCGAATGTAAAATCCAGCATTGAGAAGAAGATCCAAAATATGGCTACAAACCCTAAACCCTAAACCCTCTCTACCAGGGTCACCGCTCCCCCCTAAACCCCAAACCCCAATTCTATACGCTAAACCCTAAACCCTTAAACTAAACCCTAAACTCTAAACCGTCAAATCCCGAGCCCTTAGCCATTATTCGCTGGGCCCTAAACCCTAAACCCTAATCCCTAAACCCTACGCCGTAAAGCCCGAAACCCTACACGCTAAACGCTAAACCATAAACCCTAAACCCTAAATCGTGTCTCTGTCTTCTTTTGCTTTTATTTAAATATTCTCCTTCCACTTTATTTCATTTAATTTCTCTTTATATCATTTAATTTCACATAATTTCATTTAATTTCATTTAACTTCATTTTATTTCATTTTATTTCATTCTTTCTTTAATTTTTTCTGCACTTTCCTTTGCTTCTTCAACTCTGGCTTTCCCTTTTTCGTTTCTTTTCTTCTTTCATTTTTTAAATTTTCTATTTTTTTTTGTCTTCTTTTTATCTCTTCTTATCTTTTCATTTTCTTTTTTAATTTCTTTTCATTTTTTTAATTTTTTAATCTTCTTTTGTCTTCAACAAATTTGTTTTTCTCCACTTGTTTCTTTAGTTACCTGTCACAAAGAACCAGCCAGCTGGCTAGCTAGCTAGCTAGCTAGCTACCAGCAGCCTAGCTAGCTCGCTAGCTAGCTAGCCAGCTACCCAGCTAGCCAGCCAACAGCCTAGCTAGCTCGCTAGATAGACGGGTGGGTAGCTAGTCAGCATCCTAGCTATCCGGGCAGCAGGCCACAGCTAGCTAGCTAGCTAGCTAGCTGTGGCCTCTATTTGTGTCTCTAGGTCTTTTTCGTCTCCTATTTGTTTCCAATTCAAATTCTGTCTCCTTTTGTCTTTTGCACTCATTAAGACTATTATTAATGCATCAACTGTCTCCT